TGACAATGTCAACAACATTGAATGTGGCTGGTGTCAAAAATCCAGGTGGTAGATCGATGATATAAGCGTTGTTGTTAATACGCCGAATGATCGGTACTGGACCGATTCGCCGAGGACTCAATTTGGAGTACGTTCCTGGCTGGAAGCGTTCTTTGCGCAGACGAACCATTACGAGCTCTCTAGGTTCAAAAATTTGCTCCCGTCTGTGAGCATCGGCGTGCTGTTTGTACTGTGTAGTTGAGGCAGACAGTTTGTCTTTGACATCGGTCAGCATTTTAGTGAGCTGTTCGGTGGTTTCCTCCGCAGCTTTACTTCTGCAATTTGGTAAAACAACAATATCTACAACATGGTTAGGCATTTTAGTGTATACAATGCTGAATGGACACCTTCCTGTTGACCGATTGGCCATAGAATTGTACGCAAATTCGGCCTGTCCCAAATAATCGTCCCACTGTTTGGGGTGTTCGTGAGCAATACAGCGCAGCATGTTGCCTAGAGAGCGATTGACAACCTCTGTTTGTCCGTCTGTTTGGGGGTGATATGCTGAGCTTAGCTTAATTTCGGTGTGCAGTCGCTTCCACAGCTCGCGCCAGAAATGGCTAACGAACCTTACATCCCGATCAGACGTGATGCTGCGGGGCAAGCCGTGTAAACGGATTATTTCCTTGAAGAACAAAATGGCGACATTTAAGGCATCAAAGGTCTTTTTGCAGGCAAGAAAATGTGCCATTCTTGAAAATCTGTCGACGACCACCATTATGGAATATGCCCCTCGTTTTGTCTTCGGTAACCCAAGCACAAAATCCATGCTCAAGTCTTCCCAAATGGAATTGGGTATAGGTAACGGTGTGTACAAGCCGGTATTTTGAGCATTACCTTTATAGAGTTGGCACACAGGACATCGCTCCACGAATTTGATAACATCACATCGTAGGTGTGGCCAAAATAAACGGCTTTGCAATTGTTCTAAAGTCTTGTTTTGGCCAGCGTGAGCAGCAAGTCCACCTGCATGCATTTCCTTGATTAAGTGCTCTCGCCATGATAACTGTGGTATACACAGTAGGTTCCCCTTGAATAAGTAATCATGCCTTATAGAGAAGTCATGAAAAGTAGCAGCTGTGGTTGAGGAGAGTGTATTCCAAGCCTCTGCGAAGTCTCTATCTGATGAGTAGAGCTCTTTAAGGCAGCACAAACCTTGCAGATCGGTCTGGAGCTTGGCGATTAAGACGGAGCGTCTACTGAGGGCGTCAGCAACTCTATTTTGCTTACCAGACTTGTGCTTCAAGACGAAACTAAAACGTTGTAAGAATGCCACCCATCTTGCATGCATTCTGTTAATAGTCTTTTGACTATTAATAAATTGTAGTGCGTGGTTGTCACTACTCAGCACAAAATCTTGGTGTATAAGATAGTGTTCCCATTGTTTTAAAGCTCGCACAACGGCATACAATTCCTGCTCATAGGCGGACCAATTTTGTCGTGTGGGACTCAATTTTTCACTGAAAAACTCGAGCGGTCGATCTTCCTGCGACAGGACCGCCCTGATGGCAATTGCTGATGCTTCAGTATCCACACTAAATGGCTTGTTGAAGTCCGGAACCGCCAAAACGGGGGCGGATGTCAATGCCGCCTTGACATTGTCGAAGCTAGTTTGCTGGTCTGGCTTCCATTGTAGCACCTTGTGTTTGAGACAATCTGTGAGGGGTGCGATTAAAATGTTGAATCCGCGTACGAAGCGTCGATAAAAATTTGCCAAGCCAATGAAACTACGAACATCTGAGATGGTTTGGGGAATCGGCCAATCCTTGATTGCTACTACCTTCTGCGGATCCATATGCA